TTTATATGGCTAACGCTGGGTAATAACTATTTATATAATTATTTAAAACGTACCTAGCGACGAACCCGAGCGAAGCGAGGGTGAGCCGCTAGTATAGTATAATATAATCTGTGATAACACTATATCCCATTGTGAACTTGTTTTCATCTTTTTAGTTAGCTTTTATGCAGTCGGGTTTTATTTTTATAATATATATTTATTTATTAATCGTTCTAAATATACCTCAGGGAATTTTGTGCTATATTTTTTTTTAAATCACTTAGTATTAAATTTATTTTCTTTAAAATAAATGCTAACCGTCTATCTAAATGTAATATTTCTGTGATTTCAACTTTTTAGAATCTTTCTACATACTTATACACAATACCAAACCCCAACTAACTACTCGCATATATTTAAAAAAAATATTTGCTTCTTTGTACCCTCTTACGATCTATCTATGAAACGGCTTAACCGATTTTATTGGGACTTCACTGGCGGATGACAGATTAAGGTAAGAGTGACAGGAATATTTATCGTCACATAAAGCTAGTATTAGTATACCTATATATGAGATTTTTGTATATTTAGTGAACTATGATTAAAATGTAAATTTCGTTTGAACTTTATCAGGAAACTGTTGGGCTCAAGTAAATTAACATAGTGATAAATTCATTATAATATTACATTACTTCATATAAGGCAAGAACAATAATTTGTTTTATCAAATTGTCACTTATAACGTGTAAATGATAATTATATAACACTAGCGACTCACCCTCGCTTCGCTCAGGTTTATCCCTAGGTACGTTTTGACGCTTAGTATGGAATAGATTTTTTTTCAATTTTTTTTGGTGATTTTTTTTGATGTTTTAATAGTTATTTTGCTATTCGGGGTGAAGACAATCCAACAAAACAAAGATCATAAAAATCGGTCCAGCAGTTCTTGAGTTATCAGTGCTGTAACAAACTCGACTTTTTTTATATGTAAGTATAAGATATATAAGTGCACGGAAAAAAAATCGATAGATAACTATAAGAATATTATATAACATTCAATAGAAATTCTTTTTATATAGCCAAAATTATGCTAAGAAAATTTAAAATAGCAAATTGTTTTTTTCTGTACAATGAATTGAATAAAATATCCATGATTCCGAAAACGGAAAAATCTACATCCCAGTTTGGTATGATCTCAGCCACGGGCCTTATTACTTTATCCACATTTCATCGTCAATCGTGTTCACTCAGCTATGTGCACATTTATCTTACACAGCTAGCGTTTTTCTTAGAAATTTCTGTTTTTTGATACTGAATATATATGGTTTGAATGTAACCGAATAAGAAAATACAAAGAAATAATAATACTACCGATTTTTTAAGGTACCTATAGGGTAGATATACAGTATACGTATACCTATAAGTTTGTTAAAATTAATTTATTCTGTAAGAATTAAGTTTTTGGTTCGATTAAACATATTCGTTTGTTATATACATAATTTATATTTACTAGTGTTCGCGCATTTGAAATACGAACGAAATCTTTTTTTTATTGATAATAGTAAAGCTTTCTTAGATTTACAGGAATATTTGACATTTTAAATAAAAATATCTTTTCGGATTTTTTCGCGGATTTATTTGGATTTTTGGTTCCCGACGTTTCGAATGCTTTACAGCAATCAAGGTCACGGGAGAGACTGAGGTGTTACATGTCTTGAAGGTATAGTTGTTACAGACAGCCTACCCACTAAAATATTTAAAATATTTAAATAGTAAAGCTACTAAATAAAAAAAAGGTGCTTGACAAACAGAGAAAAAAAAGTACTGAACTCTTTTGTTTTTGCCTATTTATTATATTTATTTATATAAAAATTACAACTACATTTAGAATTATTATTTTAGATTAAGGATAAAAACTAAGTATATAATCCCGAATAAGCGGATAATAGGTGTTGAAGCCGTTAAATACGGATCATGTAAATCAGTGTAAAAGTTTGCGCTCAGTGAAAGGGCACCTTTTCCACTGTCGGTCGATCACAAGTCTGGGCTTTTGTCTGGCGTTGAACGATCAATATTTCACCCCCTCTATAGTGTACATTCCCCTCAACTAGGGTTGACATTTTGTACAAAATGTGACATTGTTCATAATAGCTAGAAAAATTAAAAACCCAAACTTTGTAAAATGAAAGTGTTATATATTATATATATACATATTCTTACAGAAACAAATATTTGATTTTTATTCATTGCGCTGTTTTCCGCATGTGTATAGTACAGTATAGTATTATATGATATGTGATAGTACTAAATGGCAAATAGATCCAAAATAATATAGGGCCGTAAGAGAATATAGGTAATTAATATTCAATTCCATTCAAATGGCTGTTTGTTAATGAATAGTATAAAAATCAGCTAGGTTGTATGTTTAATGCCAGTATTGAATCAATACTAACATTCAGTCCATTTTCTAAATCTGTATAAATAAATAACATTGAAGTGTCTGTTTGTAATGTTAAAATAACAGCTTTTTACTATAAGGTATACGGTGTTTATAAGAAAAACAGTTTTTATTGTTTTTCTGTCTGTCTGTTTGTTCCGGCTAATCTCCGGAACGGCTCGACCGATTTTAACGGAACTTTCACTGGCAAATTGAAATTCAAAATATTTTATTCAGCATTAAATTATTTAATTTTTTTACTGAACGTCATGAGTCTACTACCAGTTCGGAAAGAAGAAGCCTCAGACCTGAGAAGAACTGGCGAAAGAAACTCAGCGACTAACTTTATTCAGGGATTAATATTAGATTTAGTTTCGGCAGAGAGCTGATGTTATAAAGAGTGACTTAGGCTACTTTTAATTTAGTGAAAAATTAGGGTTCACTTAAAAAAATCCAAACCCATGAAATTATGAACAAAATCTGAGTAGCTCATCCGAGCGAAGGGAGGGTAAGACGCTTGCCAAATATAATATTAAACCGGCGTTATAATATCAGAATAAAATAAAGTAAATTCATAAAAAAATATAGTATTTAAAAAAGAATTTGACATATGTATGTCTACGGACAATAATGTATAGCAATATATTTACGAGTACATTAAATAAATTAAAAATTAAAAGAACCCCAAGCTTAATCGAGTAATCGAAAAGAGCCGATACTCTTACAGTACTGGACCGATATTAACCAAACATAGCTAAGAACTACCGCAAGGAAACTGGCTTTCAAATGAAAAAAAAAACCGCATCGAAAACGGTCCATCCGTTTGAGAACTACGATGCCACTGACAGACATACACACACACAAACAGACAGACATCGACGTCAAACTTATAGCACCCCCTTTTTGCATCGGGGGTTAAAAACTTAAACTTGACAGCCCTAAAACTTGCAATAAGACAAGTGATGAAAGGGGCCACAGCCGGTTGGTAATGATGAAAATGCAGGTAGTCACGAGAACCTCGCATTACTTTTATCAAAAGAAAATGTAGAGACACTGCCAACTTTATGTTTATAAGCGAGCCCTATAATTGCACGCTTCGTTGGCTTTTGTAAGCTTTCTGTAAGTTCTTTGTAGTGATTACTAGTTATACAAGACTAAAGCTCTTTAAGTTAAATTAAATTGTTGTGAAAGTATCATAATATTATTTATATTTTGTGTTGAATTATAATAGTTTTTTTTATTTGATGGTTTGTAAGTTTTATTTACGACTAGCATTGCCCGCGGCTCCGCCCGCGTTGAGATGACCAGAAACCAAATTCTTAGGTTTTACATATTGGTATACTCTTACATTGCAGTTTTTGTATTTTTTCTCAGAAATGAGATATTTTCCCGCGGCAAAAAGTATCCTATATGTTGACCCGGATAACCAGCTATCATCATACGAAATTTCATCTAAATCGGTTAAGTAGATGCAGATATTACTCCCTACAACGTCACAAACTCACAAACTCACAAACTTTACCTCTTTATTATATTAGTACCTATAGATAAATAATGGGGTTTTGTCTCTACATTTTATTTATTGCATGAAGTTGAATTTTGTAGAAAGTTTTTTAGTGTGGTAAAGATAGAATAGTTTTTGTAGAAGAAGTAAAGAGAACCTGATAGTTCACTTTTTTATTTAGTTTTAGTTTGGTTCTCTAGCCTCTACTTTTTTTTAATTACGATAGATTCTGGGTTCCTCCTCCTTACATGCTTTATCTTATCCAGCCGGGATAAATAACTACCATGCACAGGATCAAATCCACGGACTGCTGTAACACCTAGAATATATATACATATAATAAAATTGTAACTAAGCCGAATCTGTACATTAAATATTTTTTGGAAAATCTTATTGAAATAAACATTATTATTGATACAGAGGCGGAATTTATAGTTTTTAGACTTTTTGTCTGTCTATCTATCTGTTACCGCATCACAGAAAAACCAATGGAGGGATTTTGATGAAATTTGGTATGGTGATAGCTGGTTATCCGGGTCAACATATAGGATACTTTTTACCGCAGGAAAATATCTCATTTCTTAGAAAAAATACAAAACTGCATAGAGTATACTAATATGTAATAATACCCAAGAATTTGTTTTTTGGTCATCTGAACGCGGGCGGAGCCGCGGGCAATGCTAGTATAATGATAAAAAACTAAGTGTAATTTAAAAATAGGAACCCCATGTAATACTCATAAAATTTTTCATGCTTTTTTACGAACTATTCTACGGATTCTTGTGAAAGAGAAAGTGGCAATTTTTATGAAAGAAAAACGACTCCCACGGGATAAATCGTATAGAAATTGAATTAGCTTTTTAGCACAGGATAGAGCAGACTCAAATCGAGAGTGAATTATAAATTATTATAAAAAACATCAATGAAAATAACAGTACAGTGAATAGTTTTTACCTCACTAAACAACTACTAAACATTGATCACTCCCTACAATAGTGGAAAAAGTTAACATTTACTAATTTTCCTAAAACTAATTATTTATTTGATATCTGATGGCCTAAAATGTATTATTTGTTCCAGGTAATATAAAGCGGCGGCTTGGAAGGGCACGCGGTTTCGTCCTACGTATGTTCGACGCTCTTTGCAATTGTACGCAGACGGCAGCCGCCGCGGCCCGCACTACGGCTCGCAATGCTAACAACCCTTTTACAAAACGCTAAGCTTCTTGCATATCTAAAAATACACATATATATATATATATATATATATATATATATATATATATATATATATATAATACTGACATGAGACGTGTGCATAACTTTATACGGTACAGAAACGATGATATATATATAAAAAAATATTGTTTGGTGTAAATGCGAAAATAAAAACGGGAAAGATTTTCGCGCGATTGAACTCTCGATCTTACTTAACGTCGTAGATTGTCTATCATTCAAACTTGACTATTTTAATTTATCGGCATTTGAAATGTGTGGTTTCGTGAAATTTTGATTTTAAGGTAAGGTATTATTTAAGTTGCTTTTTGTTTAAGTTTAAATTTATAATCTATTTTTGAGCATCTAAGCTAATTCTAATTTTGAAGTTTCAATAACAAGGAGACTGCTCAAATGTTACTGAAAATAATTATTTTAAGTTATATTCGTCTATGCACAAGACTCATGTCAGTATTTTATACAAGTCACTGAAGCGTGTAAATGTTTATAATTGAATCTGATAATAATCTGTACTGAAATTTTTGGTTTTGCGCTAAAATTTTCATATCAAACAGAAGTTTTATCATAAAATATTCACTTACTGAAATATCTACTTATGTATTAAATGTTGGATATCAGGCCATTTTGGTAATGGTATTGGGTATTAGGAAAGTAAGCTTGTATCGCTATTGAGAGAGAACTATAGGCACAAGCAAGCTGTTATTACAGCTATTACTAAGCTTTTGCTCTAGTAAAATGATTATTTTTCCAAGCATTTCGAAGGAGATTGAATTATTTTTTAACTTATTTAAGTGCAGTACTGTAAGCAAATGCACCAATGTAAACCAAAATTGATTATGTTGAGTCAAACACGTCCAACATGAGATGCCGTCGTTTTAGTACTTGTTTGTCCAAACGACCAATTTACCGAAACAGTTTTTAACAAAGAATTATTAAAAAAAATTAAATGTCAATTTTATTGGTATATAACACACATTTTAGTTTAAAAAGTCGAAAAGATGGTATTTTATATATATCTTACAAATATAGATTTTCTTTTAAAATAGAGGAAATAAACTCTAGTACAATCAGCATGGTTAATTTTAACAAATATGCACTAAGGTGACGACGATTCATCGTAGTTTGTCTTCTTTAGAGTTTCATACTTTGCTTAGATAATAATAAAGAATTATTGAGCATTACACTATCGCGTAGAAAATATTATATAAAAAATATGCTTAATACTTGTAGTATTAATGCATTTATTGAATGAAATTTTACAGAATGAATATTAATTTTGAATCTAAACTAAAGATTGCGAAGTATTCACGTCTAATTCCCTAGATATATGTCTTCCTTACGTCTCCCTTGTAGATGTATCTATCATTGATGTTTAAGTGATCGATGTGAAACGCTTATAGATGTAACTGTTAAACATTTGGCAATATAATATAGATATAAAATTTTAGATATAAGACATTGTAGTCGCTATACATGGAATATGAGTGGTTGTAGCAGTCACTACACTATATTTGTATTAACAAAATTTGTAGTATTATGTAAGAAAATAATAATATTATAAACACATCAATTATAAAGTATGTGCATGCTATGGTATTTATATGGTTTTTCATATGACTTTGCTCAGTGTATGGTTTGGGGGTAAGTGTATGAGTGTATGGTGTGACCTACATCATACATTAGTACTATGAAGTCGTCTTTATAAATATACAATGAAGATGACATATTAAAATTTATACCAAAAATATTATGTTGTGTATGAAACTTTCAAACGCTTATAAACACCTGTAGTTATCATTAAATCAAGTACCAAATCTTACAAAGTACTTTCCTATCGTATTCTATATACAATTCTTTTCTATAGTATATATACAAACACGACAACACCGACCAGTGACCACGTTTTACATCTTTTTACAGAAGAATATATTCTTATTAATTTAATACTGTATTTTAATATTTGTAATGTATATCTTAAAAAAGTAGACTTATAGTTCTTTTAAGTTTATGAAATGATTTCTAAATGTTGTTTACGAATGCACAAAACGAAATTGTAATACGCTTGAAATAAATCATATTTCTTACTATAATTTACTTATATTACGATATTAAATTAAAAAAAAATTTTCTGCCGTAATTTTTGCTGAATTTATAAAATATATTGAAAATGGATGTCGTTATCTTGACAGGAAGATAGCTATCTTTATCTGATTATATTTTTTACTTTTAAAATATTGATTTAAATAGTTTCTAGACTTAGATACCTTCCTACTTTGAGACTTGTGCGAATTGAAACACAATAATATATTTTCGAATTAAAATGGAGCTTTTAAAATATTACGTGTCTTAAACTGAGATGTATCAATTTAGATGGAAATTATTTTTCAATGTGGAAAATATGTACCTGTATTGTACTATCCCAATGTATGTAAATAATAATCTTTTCACACATTTTCGTGCCATTTTTGAGTATAATTTACAAAAATGAAATAAACCTGATATGGTACATTAAAATTACAAGATTTTTTTTATATATATCACTATTTAATGCAATAAAATTCTAATCAGATTATTAGTTTCTGAGATAAGAGCATTCAAACAAACAAACTCCGCCTCTTTATAATATTAGTATAGATTAATTCTCTTTAAGTTTACCAATTTTAATTATATTTTCTTATTTTTAAATAACTCTTACACAGCTTTGTTTTAATAGATAATCGAGGTATGTATAAATGTGTGAATTGATTATATTGTAAATGTAAGTTTTTAATAAATGTTCAATGTGATATCCTGCCTCTAACACTTCCTATGTGATCCGATTCGCAACTTCTTCTATAAATATTAAAATGATTTTGTGAATAAGATTGAGTGTTATTTGTCTATGGAGATGTGAAGGAATGTTTATTTTATTAAGTTCTACCAGTAGTTTTTTTATGGTGGGACATTAACTAATGCCCCAACATATTTATATTTATTTATATTAACACATAGCTCCATCTAGTTCCAGGGTAAGCTACGAGGCTTGTGTTATGGACTCCACATAGTTGATATGCTACACATATAGAACTTTAAATACATACATATTATAAGTATAAACTGTAACCCATGACTGAAGTACAAACATTCGTGCTCATTACACAAATAAATGTCACCAGCGGGACTCGAACCTGCGAGCGCTGGCACAGCAAGTAGGGTCACTACAAACTAAGCCAAACGTGTCGTCAAGCAGTAATACAATTATACACATTTATGAGTTACATATACAAATTAAATATAGGTTAGTAATTGTATATCTATTTTAATATCGAACTTACTCGTATGATACCTATTTATGGATATAAAGGAATTACGTAGCAGGTAAGGAGCTATATTCATAATATGTTATTTGACAGATAAATTTATATATATATATATATATATATATATATATATATATATATATATATATATATAAATTTTTGTTATGAATCGATCACTAAGCAGACTATATATAATTCACTATATATATATATATATATATATATATATATATATATATATATATATATATATATATATATATATATATATATATATATTTAACTTTAAATTCTGATGTAACTAAAAATTACATAACAGTAAATGTGAGACGATATTTTTTTCAGTATAGTTGCGAAGAATGCCATACAGTTTCACATTTCAATACATATCGCTAGAGCTCTCAACAAAACAACCCATTGTTTCGAATCCACAGATTTGTAAAAAGAATCTCTTAATTTATGTAAGTACATAATTCTAAAAATCCAAGGTCAGTTTAAAAGGTCTTGGGTTTTTAGATAGTAATAAAGTTTGACGACACGTTTGGCTCCGTGTGTAGTGATCCTACTTGCTGCGCCAGCGGTCGCGGGTTCGAATCCCGCTGGGGGCATTCATTTGTGTGATGAGCACGAATGTGTGTACTCTAGTCATGGGTGTTTATTTATATTAATAATATGTATGTATTTAAAGTTATATATGTGTAGTGTATCAACTATCTGGTATCCATAACACAGGCTTCGTAGCTTACCATTGAACTAGATGGTACTGTGTGTTAATGTCCCAACATATAAAGTATAATAGATTGCTAATTGCTTATTTATTTGGTACACACCTAAATGTTTAATTTTTGGGTTTCCTGGCTCCGCTCGGGTTCGTCCTACTTACGTTTTAACGTTTAGTATAGATTTCTCAGAGATGAGATATTTTCCCGCAATAAAAATTAGTTATATGTTGACTCAGATAACCAGCAACATACCAAATTTTATCAAAATCGCTCCAATGGTTTTCCGTGATGCGGTCACAGACAGACAGACAAAAATTCTAAAAACTGTAGATTCAGCCTCTGTATCGATAATAATCTCTATTTCAATAAGATTTTCCAAAAAATATTTCATGTACAGATTTGGCTTAGTTACAATTTTATTATATGTATAGACTAAGCTGTCTATCTGTTCACCCGTTTATCTTAAATGCTTTTGAGTTTTGACGAGCTTTTAAACCACCTTTATAGCCAGTCCAAATATGAAAAAAATGGGTTATGAGCTTTGTCCAGAATATAAAAAGAATCCTTAATGTTAAAAGAACAGAATTTTACCAATTTTAAGGAGATTCAATGGTCGACAAAGAACGAGAGTAACACAGGCAATCACTCGTGAAAGCTAGTAAATAATACAATGTTTATGACTTATGGAAAAATTATGGTCAAATAATTTTTAATCCAGGTCACGTCGATAAGATGGAAACAGGTCAAGTATATTATAAGGCTTTCTTAGACGCGCCTATTTAGGATAACAAATATGAAGTTACTCAAATAAGAAAGCTGCTGGTGTTTTGTACGAAATTGAAATTCATATTCAATGGAAATTAAATCTAGAGTTAGAAATACGAAAGTTTGTGTGTGTGTCCTTTATAATCTGAAGTAACAATAAAAATTGCCAAAAGATATTATATGTATAAAAGTTATATACAAAAGACCTAGGGAGTATGGACGCAACCAAGCGAAGCAAGTGGCTCGAGTCGCTAGCTTGGAAACTATAAAAAAATGATCAAGTGTGAATCAGATTAACGCAAATAGTTTCGTAAAACCAGACAATGTACGTTTTTTTGTTATTCTCGAATAAAATAAAATTTTAAAATGTAATGTGGTTATAGCTCATAGCGCGACTTCCTCGTACCCTAATTACGCAAATAAATAAATAGCCCGAAGAGTAGCCCTAATTCATCATTATTTACCACTTCATACAGGACAGGGTGTCCAATTTCTTTATATGGGATCGGACATCTGTAATATTACTATATTATCTGTCATAAGTTTTCATTTAATGGATATGATCAGATTTTATGATACCTACCTACCCTTTTTTTACGTTGGGAAATTCATTAACGTATACCACCTGTAGGTATACATACAGGTGGTTATGTCGGATACACCGGCTAGAAAAGCCAGTACTTCCCACTAAAAACCAATAGAGCTTCTCCCGAGGATCGCTTACGCACTTCATCGCGGCGCCCTGACGCCGGCAGGTCTGCCGAAGCAGACCACATAATCAAGGGTTTGTTCCCTGGGTCCAATTTGCTGAAGTACAAGGAGCAACTCGCATGATACACCGCCTACCGAGGTGGGCCGCCACCCATTGTGGCTTAACCGATTTAGATGAAATTTGGTATGGAGATAGTTTGAGACCCTGGGAAGGACATAGGATGGTTTTTATCCCGGAAATCATAGCTTAACGGGGTAAAAAAAGGGTGGAAATTTGTATGGGGAATCAATCATTTTTCTAGTACCTAAGGGATATAAAACACATCATACCTATGTAAATATAGTCTGTCTATTCCATATTAACCCTTAAAACGTACCTATGGTCAAACCCAAGTAAAACGAGATCATTCTCGCTAATAACATAATAAACAATAATTAATCGCCACAGAAAGTACTTACACGAGGACGAGACAACGACGACATACAATATTATCTGTGCAAAATATCTCTGCACATATTACCATCACAAATCTATAAGGTGAGCCAAAATACCTATTGGTCATTCAAAACATTTAGATTTTAAGGCATTCTATCCTACTCTTTTATGGTACGATTGACTCTTCTAAAATTTAAAAACAAATTCTTTCCCCTAAATGGAGTAAGAAAGTTTTATTGAATTCCTTTTTAGCAGCTTCAGTGATAGAATAATGTTCATGTAGAATGAATTGAAGGCATCTATTAATAATTATTTATATTCTCTAAAAACATAAGTGCCCGATTTCACCAACGTCACCTAAGTTTAAGGGATCCCCTAAGCATGGTTAGGGGGCTGTTAGGGGACAGTTTCTGTTTCACCGACGGTCACCTAAGTATTAAAAGGCCCCCTAAATTTAGGTGCTCGAAATATATATATATTTGACAACATGACAGCGTAGTGTACATTTTTCTTAGTTGTAATTACAGTAGAGATGATCGATATTCATCGCTAGTGAATAAACATCGATGGTTAGCTGGCAAACATCGATGTTTTAACTTCGATGTTTTGACTTCGATAACATTTACACATCGATGTTATAAGAATAAAATATCGAAACGTCAATATTATCTTTAGGGTCATCTAAGATTACTATCAACTTTAAATAAAACTATAATACAATCTTTCGGATTATTTCGCGGATTTATTTTGATTTTTGGTTCCCGACGTTTCGAATGCTTTATAGCAATCAGGATCACGGGAGAAACTAAGGTTTTAAACATCTCGAAGGCCTTATACACTTGTTAAAGACAATGCCTACCTACTATTTTACAAAAAGTATTTCAAAAATTAAAGAGTGCCACCAAAGTACCTTACAATATATTTTGTTGATTTTAATTCTAAACATTTAAAAAAAATATTAATAAGTATTGTAATTAAATATAGCAATATTATTTATTTAATTTTAGCTGCTATTATTATAAATATTACATTTTTTTAAACTTTATTAATTACAAATATTATTTAGTGTAGTTATTATTATATTATGTATAACCATAAAAAATATAAAAAATTAAAAATATTAATTTTCTATTTAAGCAATATTATTGTTTTATATGTAGTTTAAAAGAAGTTAAAATATTAATTTATATTGCTATTATTTAAATTTAAAATATTAAGCAACACTATTGCTAGCTTTATAGACAAAAAATATTAATCAGAATTACTGTTATTATTGCGATCCACACAGTATGAACTAACTGGTAAGTAATTCTGATTAATATTTTTTGTCTATTATTATTATTTATATTAATATTGTTATTTTCAATAATTGTTTTATTTGCTACCGAAAAGATCGACGTTTTTGTAGACATCGATGTTTATTGCATATCGATACTTTTTAATCGATGTTTTTCTAATATCGATCATCCCTAAATTAGTGATCATCTGACATCTGCCAAACAAACGTCAAACAGATTCTACCATGGAGAACCAAGATCACAGACTAGGAACAACAAGAACCAAGTAATGTAACTCTACCATAGACAAATCTATGAATATCATAATCAATGATAGTTTAGACTTTAGACCACAAAACAATTTATAAAAGGGTCTATTCACACGACTTTTTTACGCACGATAACGCGCAGTGAACGCACTGTCGACGCGAACTTGACGAGCGTTTGTATCGATAAGAATGCAAGTAATCTGCATTTTTCAAATTTATTAACGCAAAATATGCGGATACAAATAGAAAGAGTACGTTCATGATTATTAAACGTAATGGGCAGATGCACTTATTCATTTATTTATTTGGTAATCCTACACCGTTACAAAGATAATACAGTTTGAGCACAAAGTTTTTAGTAAGTCCAGCATTGAATTGCACTATTGTGATAACTTATAGAATGAACAACAGATTAAATAATACATAAAACGAAACAACTAATTATTAAAATTGATTATGATAATGAAACACAATGTGTTTGCATGCAGGTATGCAGTCGTGGATAGCACTTTGACGGTACGTTATTAGTTAGTTTTCATAATTTTCTCGACAGATTACAGTTTTTTTTGATTAAATCTTGCGATCAGTCTTTCAGACTATGAGCAGATGAGATGGTTAAATGGCATGTTTTTTTTTTTTATAAATGGCATGTTAGGCTCTACTCCCAGTGGAGTCTGCTTTCATCATCTTTCGTCATTCGTCTGCTTTCGTCATTCTTCTTTCGAACTGTTCCGGTCGAAAATGTCACGCCGCTTTTTTAATCGGCGGATGCTTTCTGGGATAGTAAGTTGTCCTGCTAGTTTGTTCGGATGCCTTAGCAGCCGGGATTTGTAGTTTTCGCCATGTGTTTTTTCGACAGATTACAGTAAAAAATAAAGTTAGACTGATTATAGGTATACACTTAAGATCTGTGATATAAAACAACTGTGATTTACGCCTCTTTACATAAGGATCAAAATCTAATAGTAACGAATTTTACAAAAATACAACACCTAAATAAACTATCACGTTAGGTTAAAGGTGAAATAAATCAAAAAAAGAAAAAATATTAAAATTTTATTCAGAAATGATTAGGTATGTATGATTCAATCTTATTAGGTACTTATTTTCTGTACTTTTTATAGTTTGGAGAGCGATCTCTATCTCTTTTCTTCTTCTTGCCTTTCCTCTTTTTGTCTATATCTTTTTTCTTTTTTTTACTTTCCTTTTTGTGATAACCAGGAGAGTCGCTACTACTACTTCGCCGTCTATGCCTGGGTTTATCAGAATCTGAGCTTAATGATTCATTACTGCTGTACTTTTTCTTATATTTCTTTCTATGTCTTCGATCTTCACTACCAGAAGAATCTCGTCTATTCCTTTCCCTACTTCGGCCATTTGAATGATCATTCTTTTTAAGTCTCTCTTCTCCATGTCTCTCTTCTTTATCTCTATCTCTCACTTCATTTCTCTTACTGGATGATGCACTCTTTATGTCTTCTGTTTTAGAACTATTTTGTTTTGAATTAAGCACTTCTTTCTTTTTGTATTCTTCATAAGAGTCTGTATCTAAAATAATGAAAAAACATTACAAACTCGGCACTAATTAATATAAGAATGAGTTAAAATAAATACAATAGCAACCATTATGGAAAGAAAATTTTTGTGACATTAGTAACTGACTTCACAAGTTCATTAGAAATTCAAGATGGTGAGTGAAACGGGAAAGTTAAGAACAAATATCAAGATTTGATGGATCATGCAAGCTTTTCCCAAGCAGACTTAGGCCACAATGCCCCGGGGGTTGATTATTTGCTATGCTAATGTTTTTTTCTTATGCATCTAAACTTATTGAAACAATGCGTATTTAAATCCTTATAGTAAAATTGACAATTGAATCAATTAACGTAAAATAACTCACTAATAACTTTAGATTGCTTATCGAATTCAGTTTTTGTGACTGCTTGCATCATGAACTCACTGAGGCTCACTGTTTCTTTTTTAATTGTAATGTCGACTACAACACGGCCATTGTCTTCGTCTAAGCTTACAACCTGTAAAAAATAAAAGTTTTATGGTGAAGCAAAACAGTGAGGAAACCTTCATGTCTGAGAGAACTTAGCAAGTTTTCGAAACACATGAAATCCGCCATAAAAAGTCAAAAAAGTCATTTATTATTCTATTATCAACTACCAGATTGTTATGTACATATATAAAAATAAGTAATATCATAGGTGAAATTATTTACAGTTAGTGATAATATTTGAAACCATCATGAATAACAAAAAATGTTTGAAGAAGGTAGTATATGATAAAAAAAACAATCAACAAAATGTTTGTTTTTATAGCTCATAAGTGAATCAATTGTGTTAAAAAAAGTTGGATTATTAAATATTTAGGTTTTATTCTTGTACAGATTAAAAGTTAAAACAAAATTTTTAATTTTAATCAGTCAACCTGTACAATTACAATGTTGTCTTGTCTTCCATATTATTACAAAACTGGATATATTTCTAAAATAAAAATCTTTCTAAATAAAACTAAATGAGTTAGCTAATATTGGTTTAGCAGGGATTATTTAAGAATAATAGCAATTATGTAAAATACGTGAAATCCACCTGACCGATTTTGACTATAGTGACTAATCTCACTGAGACTACACAACTGCATACAAGATATTACAGTGCACAAATGTACGCACAGACACGAGTACACTCTTTGTTTCTGTCGCTCTTGTACTCCGGTTAAACAACAATTCGACACAACCAGTGAGAGATCAGGTTTTCCAAGGCATGGGAGTAGAAGACCACCAATTCTCTAACTTTGAGCTTTTACTGGGACTGTTTTTACAGAAAGACTCAATAACTATACTTCACTCAACCCAGTACTTGAACCCAGGATCTCCAAACCTGCAGGCATACATGCTTGCCACTTGACAAGAGGCAGTAAAAGCAGTATGTATATATCATAAAAATATGTACCTTTCCATAATATCCACTATGCTTTCCCGAAGTAATTTTGACAAAAGAATTCTTAACTATAGACAACTCTTCATCTTTGTCTTTGGTCCCTTTTTTATTTTGATTATCTTTGACCATTTTGTCTGCACCTAGTCCAAGACCTTTTGGACGTAGTAGAGGTTGCCTATATTTTGACCTGAAATAGTGTAAATTATAATATTTGACAAATGACAATTTTCAGGGAACTATCTTACTTAGACTAGATTAAATGCTTATCAGATGAACTGAGATGAAGATAACTTAATATTTGAAGTTATATTTCTTTTGGCGCATTTGGAAAAAAAATATGAGAGTATAACTTTTACGATGCGCGCGTACACCGACAGCCAAAAAGCAACATAATAAAGTTAGCTGCATACTTTTTACAAGCAGAGAGTGGTGACATACGGGATGAAAACTTTAGCTATTTTTGTTCTGTTCTTCCCAAGAAATATAAATTCTTACAAGCATACATAAGTACACACACACATATTTTTTGTATAACTGCAATAGATAAAAAAATTAAAATAAAAAACCCAGTTATTCCATTTTTATAAAAGCAATAATATATTTTACCAGGAAAAAACAGAAGAAATTATTAATAATCGACTTCTGTAGAGAATTACTTCTTATGTACATTATTATACAAAATAATTTCTGCGCATATTTGAAATAATATCCTGCCAATGATTTTAAAATAAAACGGAATGAAAAACATGAATGGAACATTATGAAATTCGAAAATTTAAGGACTAAAGCACATAGAATAAAAAAAAATAGTAATAAAGCAAAATCTATACATGAAACATAATATAAAATATTCTTTGCACAATAATATATATTGTGTACAGGATAAAGACCGCAAAGCAATAGTTGTTGTAATTTTTATCTGTTTGTCTGTATATCTGTTTGCTTTTTTACTGAATGGATTTAAACAAAATTTTGTTAAGTTAACATTTAGAATACCTTTTACTACAAGAAAATCTCTCATTCCTATGACAAAACCAAGTCAGCCAAGTTTTCTTTATAAATTTAAATGACTAACACAGGCTAAACCTTCAGATATAAACATTATATCAAAACAATGTACATATAGAAAATTATATGTCTTAAAAAGACCTATAGAAAAATAGTATATGTCTATCTCCTCAGTACACTCACAATAACTATTTTATCTATGTAAAACATACCTAGGCGATACCCAAGTGAAGCTAGGGTAAGTTACTAGTATATAATAACTGAACTTGTAGTTATATGCAAAGAAGTTCAATAAATATATTACATTTACAAAACTCACTGGTCTTTGCTAGGTGTCCATCCCATTCCTCGTAACATTGCAATTCCAAATTCTTGTATTGGCACTGAATCATAATCGTCAAGAGTTGCCTGAAAATAGAATGACAATAATGATATAACATATAAAAAAGTAAAAAGACCTTGCGATGGTTTACACGGTTCCATTGCATTTTGGAAAATTTGAGGCTATTTAAAATTAAGAAGATTAATGCCTGACTTCACCAACAACCCATAAGCTACAACCTACGTATGGGATACCTAGCTTAAAAGTCCCCTAAACTAGCCCCTAAATTATATTTCATTTTACGATCGTATTTAAGCCCATATTTCGAGCACCTAAATTTAGGGGGACTTCTAATATTTAGGTGACCCCTGTCGGTGAAACAGAAAGTGCCCCCTAACCATGCTTAGGGGATCCGTTAAACTTAGGTGATGTTGGTGAAATCGGGCATAAGAGGTGGATAATGTTATTTCTCTTTATTTTCCCCCGTAGCCATCAGATTGTGTCAGAAGTGACATTGAAAAAAGGATTGTATTTTTATTAAAATTTAATGAAAAATGCTTTATATATTGCCCATTGTTTTATAAACCTGCTTTAATTTTTTTTTATTAGAGAGTCTATTAATCAAACACTACAATGACGAAAATTCATTCCCATAACGTTCATAAATACCTCTGCTTGGCCATCCATTACAGGTTTTGCATTTACTGGAACAATAAAATTAGGTTTTTCTTCAGTTTTTTCCTTTTTAGCATCTTCTAACAATTCCCTAATAGCCATTTGATCCAAGGTTTCATCTTTTACAACATCTTTATGCTTTTCTTGTGCGTCATTATTTATGTCTGGCTCTTCAAAGTTTTCCACTTTTGCTGCAATCTCTTTTAATCTATCAGCAGTTATCAGTGTATTGGGTTTCATAGGTATAACTAGAGGTTTGATTTCTTCCTTTATTTCTCCTCTGGAATTGAAATTAGTAAAATTTAGTTAATATAAACATTTAGAAAACAAGTAATTTATTCTTAAACCTTAGGGTCATGATAACTAATCAAGTCTGTAAATAAGACGAGAAACAGTACATTTAATCTCAAAATATAATATAAATTTGTATTTAACATATTTTAATATTGATTTGATAGTACCCAACAACTTTGATGGATTTTTCTTCAACACAGTCGATGTATTCCTTCTTTTCTACTATTACTGGTTTATTTGCTGTTTTAGTTTTAGTAAATCCAAATGATATTTTTTTGCCTTCCATTTTTTAAACGTTCTGACTGGATTTATATAGATTTGTTTAAGTATGATTCTTCTCAATGATTTCAGTATAATTCTTTTCATATATTTGCACAAAAACTACATTTTTAATATGGAAATAGAATAAATCTGTAGATAACTTATTAATTTAGTTATTATTTTTGTGTAAGTTTTCTCTACATAACCGTAATTTCACAAATAAACTCAATTTTGGCAATGGCTTGACAATTAATCTATAAATGACAATTTAATAAAATTGACACTTTAAAAGCGGTCTTCTTTTGACGTTTGATTACAGATTATATATACTTCCTTTGGTTTACGTTATTATTATTTATGTTGGGTGTGGTGCCGAGGTCGGCCCTAGCTACGTCGACCAGTTTTGGTCCATTGTAGCTTGGTTTACGTTAGGTACACACTTATTATAATGGGGAAGATTTCTCGACAGGATGGCGCTATACGTATAGCCTATTTACATTCAGTCAGAGGTTAAGAAATTTATTGTGATTAGTGATTACCTGGTTTTTGCTTTTTTTCTACCGACTTCCTCAAAAAGGAGGAGGTTCCCAATTCGGCTGTATTTTTTTTATGTTTGTTACCTCAGAACTCCGTTATTTATTAACTGATTTGGACAATTTTTATTTTGTTTGAAAGTGTATACTTCCAGATTAGTCCCATTTAAATTTCAAAAAAAAAACCCCCTAAAGGTGGAAAAATAGCTAATGATGAATTTAACCTACTTCTAATTGTCATATTGACTTGAAACTTTGCAAGTGTTTCTATTTCCGTTGATAGTACAGTGGTTCGGTATTGTTGACCTTTTTTTTAACGTTGGGAAATGCATTTACGCACGAGGTGTGGGACTCACCGGCAAAGCCAGTACTACCCACTAAAACCCAACAAAGCCTTCCCTCGTCTTAATGGGGCATCGCAGGATCGCTTACGCATTCAACTACGACGCCCCAGCGGCAGGTCTGCCGAAGCAGACCACAGCAACCACGGGGTTGCTCCAAGGTCCACTCTGCTATCAGAGAAGTACCAGGAGCAACCCACATGGTACACCGCCCTCCGAAGAGGGCCACCTCCCACCGCCCACCGAAGTGGGCCACCTCCCTGTGCGTTTCTTGGCTTCGCGCCCGGTTGGGTTGCCGGGCACTACTAAGCCCCCCCACCACGACAAGGTGAACGCACGTTGGAGGGGTCGGTATTGTTGACCTGATCTGATGGTAAGGCCAGAAGGTGGATAGGTGAAACTCTTCAACGGCTAATCGTAGAGACGACTTTGAGTTTCGGCTTATTTTGTTTGATTTGACAAGCCTAACACGTTAGAATTCTTACTTTGCTACTACTCGATGTTCGAAGTCGGTGTGCTTTGCTTTATATGGGCTGGCACCGATTTTGGAAATATTTGATTAGGTATGTATTTAATAGGTAGGCTTTAATTACTTAGCCAAAGCAGACCGACTTCGAAAATATTTGATTAAGTATGTATAGTAAATGAAAACTACCAATCAGTTATTTTTTACTTTTTAGTGCTTTTGTTTGAAGTCGGTTTTGTGATTACTTGATTAGATATAGAAATGTGTGTTGTAACTTTTAAAGTCTGTATAACTTTTAACTTCTGCGTTTCCTCAAATATTTTTTATATATTTGGACTCCCTATCACCTCCCTTATTCAAAATTACCACTCTCGCCCTAAACTAAACTTGTGCCGAGGTTTTTGCTTTTTCCTTAAATTCATAAGATATTTATTTCAATGGAAGAATTTGTCATACAACCTAGCGAGAGAATCAATTTTGCTTTTTTATAACTATGTAAATAAAGAAATAATGTAATGATAAATCTTTGAAATATAACATACATAATGTGTATGTACCCACTTATATTGTACATATTACTTTATACTAGCTGCGAGTCTTGCCACGTATATTGTATGTCTCCGGCATAATACTATGTTCCTTCGTTAACTTCATTTAATTTGTAGTTTAAAGTTTAAATTTAATTTGTAGTTAACTTGTTCTTATCGTATTGGTTCGCTTTTTACGTTTTTTTTTAATAAATTTATAAATTACTTTTTCCTTTGTAATTTGCATTAATTAGTGATAAAGCCTATTAGTTGGTTTATGCTTTTTATAACTAAAAAATAATGTTATGATAAAACTTAAAAATGTAATTAATTTCGTTAAAAAGATATAGAGTTTCGCGAATAAATATCTACAGTACTTGCTAAAATATTTAGGTATTTCTTTTTTGTTCAATTATGAAGCCTTTTCCTTTGCGATTTGTATTAATTACTTTGGTAATTAAGAGAAAATGTTGTAGTGTCGTAAATTATATTCTTTCTTCGCAATCCTAGATTAGAGTCTAGATAAACAGTGTTTCAGACAGACATTAATTCGTTACACGACAGATTTACTTGAAGACTGCCATGAATTATTTACAAAATGCTAATTAGGACTTATTCAAAATTACTGAATGCATTCTCAGTTAAGTTGGAATCATGTGGCGTAGTGTTCTAAAAATATAAATAACTAGCGACGTGCCTAGTTACATTTTAAATAGATAAAAAAATATAGTATCGGGCGTGTACTTTAGGCAGTTTGTTCCAAATACAAACTTTCAACCTATCAAAATTGGTTCAGCGGTTCAGGCGTTGCTATTTGTCGCAAAAATTTTATTTGAATTCTATTTTACTCTATACTAAGCCTTAAAACCTACCTAATCATATTATGATAATGAATATTTATATATGATAACAATTATAATAGATATTCTGGCTATAAAGCCACAGGGGACCCGCGTATACCTAAAATCTTTATTTTTTATGATGAAACGTCTGTTGTCACGAAAATTTAATTTTACGAATGAACGAATTTAATATGGCCACCTTCATCAAACGCTAGATTTATATTTCATTTGTAATACTACGATGAAAATAATGCGGTGTTATATACGAATTTGTGGTTTCAAACAAAATTAACGAATTATATTGTATGATTTTATCAGTAAATCGGTAGCTGTATTTCTTGTCATGTAGGTATTTAAATAAATAAAAGAATTAATTGTTGAAGGAGTCTATATTTTTTTAAAATAATTAAATAAAGTGTTTGGCAGAACAGACTTATGGACAAACCCGAGCGAAGCAAGGATAATTCGCTAATATTAAAAAAGCTAGTTTTAAAAGCATTTTCACTTTCATGTGTTCTACACTTTGAAGTGGATTTATTTTGAAAATGTATTATAGTTGATTCCCCATACAAACTTTCATCCCCATTTTCACCGCCTTAAAGGATGATTTCTGGTATAAAAAGTATTCTATATCCTTCCCAGGGTGTCAAACTATCTTCTTGCCAAATTTCATCTAAATCGGTTCAGTAGATACAGAGATTACCCCCTACAACGTCACAAACTAACTCTTTATAATATTAGTATAGATGAGGGATTTTACTTGAGAATTGAGATATAACCAGTTATTTTTATTTAAATTGATTTACTATCGGTAAAGATATTATCGCTTAACACACAAAAAACAACCTAATTAAAAATAAAAAAGATTTAGAACTGACAGTATTTTTTTGCTAAAATCGGTTGCACTGTTCTTTTTTTCCAAACTACAACTTTTTAAAAGTAGCCTTCCTCATTCACTTAAAACTTGTATACGTTAAAATGGCATAAGTTACGAACAGAAAGACTGACAGTGAGATAAATCCATAGATAATAATTGGTTATATAGCTCTAGTATTAAATTGTTGTTTAGGCATTGGTAACGAGCAGATAACTGAAACATGAGTTAAGTAGTTATTTTGGAACTACAGGTAGCCGACTGACATATTGTAGAATGTAGTACATACATATTGCATATTTGTTATTTGTTGAATCGTATAGTAATTAATGTCCGAAAAATTCATAAATATTTATTTATAATGTAGTGGACGCTCTTTAACCTTAATTTTCCTGTTAAATTTGAATAAATGAGATATGAGTTATTTGCAGTAGTGGCATGTTTGTGTGTGTTCAATTCGGACAGAAAAAACATTTAAATAAGCTTTTAAGCTTGTGTTTATTACATGTTGAATGTATTTTATTCATGTTTATACATAATACGTAATATGGACTTTCTATATAGCAAAATGTTGTGGGCGCCTTTAATATTCATTTATTATTATTAAAGAACTAGTAGGTGCATATAGTGTTAAAAAATCTTTCAAAAATTTGCACAAATTACAATATATAATACATTTACTGAATTTCGTTGCATAATTCTGAACATGTAGTTAATTAATACACATAATAAAGTCGTCCCAGTAACACGAGAATGTAACCGCTATTACCAAAATTGCCTAATTAACACATTGTCGAATGTCTGTTCCATTGACCCAAGGGGGACATTCAACTTGGCTTTTAACCAAACTCGTATTTTCTGAAGGTACTTTTGAAAATCTGTACATAAAACTAATAGAATATTTATTATTATGATTTATTACAAGTTTAAGATTCTTATTATCCCACTAGCATTGCCCGCGGCTCCGCCCGCGTTCAGATGACCAAAAACCAAATTCTTAGGTTTTACATATTACAGACAGACAGACAAAAATTCTAAAAACAATAAATTTGGCCTCTGTATCGATAATAATGTTTATTTCAATAAGATTTTCCAAAAAATATTTAATGTACAGACAGATTCGGCTTAGTTACAATTTTATTATATGTATAGATATAAATGAAATAACATAGGAGCTCATTCAGTTGTGTTTATCGAGCATTAATTAATCAACGTCCCGAAAATTGACCATATGGATAAGGTCTCATATTAGTTATGAATATTCTGTCACGTTGAAATTCGACTACCAACACACTTATCCTACTACATCATCAGTTACATATGTATATCGATTAAAAAATGGAATAAATATTTACTTTTCATTCATTCATTCATATTTTTAACGGTCACGCTTTACTGATCGAGTTTTTTATATGTTTACCAATTGTAGTTATTGGGGTTTT